TAATGTAACCAGTAGTTTGTTGATTCTCAAATGTTTTCCATGTATTATACTCGGTACTACTTTGGTACTTAAATGATTTACACTAATTATTCAAAAATCAGAGTAACTTGTGTTTATTTGCATGCTTTCATTGAATATTTGATGACATAAAATATTTGATGGCAATAAACCACCGAAGATATCGATTGTGGGGTCGGTGAACTACGTAAGCTTAGCTTCTTAGACATGTAAAGTTTTAGAGAGAGAAAGAGAGAATGCAAAGTAGGAGTATTATAAGCTTGAAATCGAATCCTTTACAATGTGAAGGTCTTGGCCTATTTATAGATTCAACAATACAACTAAGTCAACCCCTATACACGTCACTTGGTCCTCATAGTCTAGTCCTTTTCATCTGGTCGTTATCATCCGGTCCCTATCATCCGGTCACTGTCCTCTCATCATTGTCATCTGGTCCGAGCCGAGAAGAAAGGAGCCGAGGCCAAAGACCGAGCCTGTCCACTTCTAGGTCTCTTTTCCGAGCTTACCTAGACGTGGGGTCTAGCCTTTGGTCCAATACTAGGCTGACATGGGGTTATCCTCCATCATAAGCCCCTCACTCTCCGAGTTCTTTGACGATTGGCAGTAGAACGCGAGAGAGTAGAGGTTCCTTGGGCAACGAGCGAGTGGCCCCACGCGCGGGCGCGCCATGGATGGGTTGCGGCGTTTGGCATTCCCCAAGTGATGGGTGGCGATGTTTCGCCTTCCCAAGTTGCCTCATCATTACTCATCATTGTGCCAGTTAATTTCTTCGGCCCATCACCCTCTAATATAAATATCACCCATGTGTTCTTCACTTCTCTGTCACAGAGTATTTGTCTAGTTTTGACTTTTTTTAATCAATCGTTTTCAACCTATGACCTATAATTAAATAAAATATATTATACATTAATTAAATACCAGAGTAAATAATATTTAGAAAATTCAATTTATTTATTATCATTTTAATTTAACTTGGGGTCAAAGTTTACTAATTTTGACCGAAAAAAGTTAAAAATGGACAAATACTCAGAGACGGAGTAAGCATTAACTATATTTGTACATAAATAAGTGATACCCCGATACATAATATAAAAAATTGATAAATCGATAACTCGATCTTAAAATAAACTAATTATATTAAATTTACTCGGTATGTTATACAACGTAACTGTTTTGATGTGCCAAATAAGTCTTCAGATGTTACTAATGTTATTTGCAGGAAGAAATCAAACGCCAAATCTCATCTAACTTGATTAGCATCACCGAGATGTACTTCTATGGGTTTAGAAACATTTGTGTAAAGGTAGTGATATAGTTAATGAAATACTTATGCCCTTTCACTCAAAATATATTATTTCTAAAATGTCAAACAAATTCTTTGCTACACGTAGGTAACATGAATGACGAATAAGGAAATGATCCTCGTGGGAAGCGAGGATGAAGAGATTGATAGATGTTGGCTGAAGGAGTTATTTAGTTTAATATCTAAGTTTGAATTAATTATGTTTTCGGGCAAAGAACCCAAATGAAAAGTATTTAAAGCTTCCACACTATTTTGTTAACTTTGATGAATATATAAATACACTACAAGAATTTGACAAATCTGCAACAGACAAATTAGCAGATAGAGAATCTGCGACGGATCTGCAACAGACCTAGTCCGTCGCAAAAAAGTTGTCGCAAATTGAATATCTGCGGCGGAAAAATACGTCTCTCGCAAATCAGCGACAGAGCTGCGACGCTATTCACGTGGTAAATAAATCATCAAATCTGCGACGGAACATTAAATCTGCAGCATTTCAATCAAATCTGCAACAAAGTGATTGTCCGTAGCAGATTTGTGGCAGATTTCTTGCATCCAAACACTAAATTTTTCTATTTTTCTGATAAGTCACTTCTCTTTTCAATTATTTTTGTAATGTTGTTGTGGACGAATGATAAACAGGAGCGAGATTTACGATACAACAAATTAAAATAATTAATTAAACATCAAACAATAGCAAACACGACAATGTCATATTAATTTTAAACAAATACAATCCTTACAATATACATAGTGTAATGTATACAAAAAAATCCTAGTTAAACAATTTTGTTTTGAATCAAAAGCTCTAACAAATATCAGGTTCTCATCTCATGCTGATAGTTATTTTCTCGTGGCACACAATTCTTCATATTATGTCCATCCACTAGGTATAGCAAATACCATGTTTGCTCATCATGGCATTGGGCTCTTTCTTCACATAATGTCAATTCACAAAGCGCAACGAATCGATCCTACAATTATAAAAAATCATCAGCCAACTATGATGAAGTGCAAAACAAGATAATTCAGCCAAAATAGCACATATATTCATCATAAATTTGAAGTGATTATATTATTTTTTCATACAAACACTACAAGATTTGGTTCAATTTGCAAGTTTTTTGAATTCAACCACCACTTAGATCAAGATGTTGATAAATTCAATATATAAAACTCTCAAAAAACAACATGTAAACACTTCGCTATGCTATCAGTTTTACAAAAATAGATCCATAACACCTAATTTGATAAAAATTGCAATTGAACAACAAATATGGTAGGTTACATACATACACAGGACTTAGAATGAATACTATTAATTAATTAATTAATTAAGCAAAGATGCTTGAAAGTTGTGAAGAACATTCAGCTAATTCACAAAACAAATGCAATAATTGAACTTATAGTTTTCAATTTTAAATGAAAAAATGAAAAAAAAACCTTAGGGCTGGTGAAGGGGCGACAACAAAAAGGTGGAAGCCGGCCAGTGAAGTCGTGACTGAGAGGGCGGCGGCACTGGTAGGATGGATGCTGGCCTGGGCAGTGGGGAGGGCGCGCAGATGGCTTGGAAGCGGTAGAGGATTTTGGTGGTGAAGGGCTGGACGGAGGTCATAGTTGCACGGTGATGAAAGTGAGAGGCGACAGGGGTGGTGGCTTCCCCATCTTGCGCAACGGAGCTGCAGGGAACGAGGGGGGTATGCGAAGGTGAGGCAGCGGTGATGAGCTGAGGAGGGCGCTGAACATTGGAGACGGCGAAGAGGGGCTGAACATCGGTGACGCAACGGCGGATAACCCTAGATGGTTTCTACTTTGAAGGGGGTAGAATGACTTCTTTGTGAGGATGTCGATTGAGACTAAAAAGATAAGGTAGGGGTTAGTCTGCGATGGACACGAACATCTGCTACAGACATACTTATTCCATTGTAGATTTGCGATGAACTTCGTCAGTCCGTCGCAGTTTTTACCAGATTTTCTAAATACCAAGCCTCGTCGCAGTCTCGTTGCAGATCTGCGACGGAAAGCAGTCCCTCGCAGATTTCCGTTGCAATTTAGGTGAATTCTTGTAGTGTAATATTTTGAATTGAACCACTACTTATGTCCTTTATTCTGGTCAACCCAGTACCTACGACGCTGGTTGGGTGGAACCTCCAATCATACAGATCAGACCCCAAAATTCCTGTACGTACATCTTTACCTGAATACCACTGGACACTAAGTCCACAAGGCTCTACAACCTAGTGTGAAGTCCTATATCAGGAATAAAAACATGGAAGTCCTATTTTGGTATATCTTCAATGTTTTACTTAAACTTTATTCTTTTTCCCTTATAGGAAATCACCCTAAATAAGACTAAAACATAGAGAAAAGTACCAAAATAGGACTTTCATGTTTTTATTTCCGAAATAAGACTTAACACTGTGATAATGTGACATTGTACATGTGCACATTACTATACTTTTTGATAATGTACATGACAATGTTTGGTAATGTAAATGCATTTTAAGTTCTATTTAGAGAATAAAAACATGAAACTCCTATTTTGGTATTTTTTCAATGTTTTAGTCCTACCTTGGTCTTTCTTCCTTCAAAAAAAACTAGAACAAACTCGAAGGTACTGAAAGAACTTAGATGGAACTCGAAAAATTAGAAAAAATTGGAAAATCTAAAAAAAACTAAAAATTTTATTGAAGTTTATTTTTTATATTATCCTCATTCTAATTGTTGTTATTATAATTTATTATGATCATTATTATTATTAGTATTATTTTTATATTCATAATCACGTTATTTTAATCAATGTCTTTAAGATAAAAAAGTATTGTCATTTTTCATACACAAAAATCTACTTTCGCAATTTTTTAAAATTATACTCTCCCCGTCCGGGAATGATGTTCCCATTGTACGTTTTTTTCCGTCTGGGAATGATGTTTTCATTCTACCTTTTTTTCTCTATTCTTTCAAAATTACCCTCATCCTCCATCATTTCTTCTTTTCTTCCTTTCTTTATTTCCTTCCTTTCTTTCCTTCTTCCGCCACTTGTTTTCTTCCTTTCTTTCCCAACCTGACACCTTCTTCCTCTTCTACCTCCTTCTCTTCTCTCCTCCTCTTCCTCCTCTTCTCTTTCTCCCCCGTTTTCTTTCTTCTTCTTTACCCCCTTCTAGATCTTTGTAGAGCGGCGGTGGCGGCGATGGTGACGACGGCGGTGTCAGTGTGTCGGCGATGGTGACGGCGGTGGTGTCGGCGATGGTGACGGCGGCGGTAGCTGTAATGGTGAGTCTACATCTGCACTTTGTTATGGATTATATAGTAGGATATTAGATTATATATTTATTATTTTATTATTATTATTATTATTATTATTGTTGTTGTTGTTGTTGTTGTAATTTAGGTTTTATTAGGTGAGCGAAATTATAAGCTCCTTCGAGGTTTCTTTACGGTTCTTTCCCTCGTCGCTTTTATTGAACCGTCAGGTTAGCGTTAGGGTTTCCCTATTCCCTATATATAGAGATGTAACCCCTTTAGAATAAGCAAGCAATAAACAAATTACAAACCCTAATCTCTTCTCTCCTCTCGGTTCGCCGATTCCCCCTCGCCTCAATTCTTGTTCTTCTTCCTCGTCCCATATTCTCAAGAGCTCGAAGACGCTCTGAGTCTTCCCTATCCGATACGAGTTCGTATCATTGGTGTTTTCATTGAGAGGAACACCAAAAAAACCAAAAACCAAAAAAAATCGATTCGCTGTAGATTTGTCGTCGCTGAATTATTGTTGCCGCCGAGGAATTGCTCAAGGCACTCTCTGCCGCACCAGGTTCACTCTGATAAATCTTTTCTGTTCTTTGATTTGCACAAGCAGTGCGGAAAGGTTATTTGCTACGAATATTCGATCAAACAAAAGAAGGCAGCAGACTAGATTTTGTTTTTTGTTCGGCAATTCCAGGGGAGATCCACGTGAATTATTTGGGAGCCGGTTCTCAACACCAGGAAGTCTCATAATTTGGGAGGGTGGATTAAATTATCAAAGATTTCTTTTGGAATTGGGGTTGGTATTTGCCTTGCCACAACTATGGTCTCGATTTTGGATAAAATTATTGTGACCATGGACGATGCTTTGAACAAACTTCTTGGAGTGTTGAAGAATATATTATATGGAAGAGTTGAGTTTCATGACGGAGTCTGTATAGCTTATGATCATGTGGATGAAATTTTGAAGACGCTCCACTTATTTCGTCATCTTTTAGATCTACCGTATTCTGATTCTGAGTTATATGCGTTCAATGTGGAAATCTCTTGCTCGATACAAGATTTGGTGCGTGGTACTCCAATGGCATTGAGTGATATTCCCTTAGAGTTAAAAAGTTTCAAAATAAAGATGATGAATGCTATAAGGAACCTACTCAGAGCTCCACTTGCTCCACCAGATCTGACTCCTACAATCATTCTACACAACACCACACCTAATGGCATGGAATCTGTTGAGGGCATTGTTGTTGATTCAGTGAGCATTCCCCAAATTGATGATGATGGTATTTCTGTTAAAGATGTTGTTAATGCCTTTCCATCAGATCTTGTAGCTGTTGATACACCCGTAGTTGCCCTGGGTAATGGAGAAGTTGCAAAGGATCCAACATTGAGCAATGTCATGATCGCATGTAGCCTTGTGCCTTCGTCCAAAACGGCCCAAGTAGTAGATGTAAATTATACGCAAGCGGATATCTCACTGTCCTTTGATATCATCCAGCCCTCTGCCCATGCGAATATAGTGGAGTCCGAGTATTGGGTTTCACCGCCGATAGCTAAGTTTGCATTTGCTCTTCTCTCTTATGTCCATTGCTGTCCTCCAATTTGCAGGCTTCATGAAGATCTATCATCAAGTGGGCATAATCTTTGGGTCAACATTTTCTCTCCAGTCTCGAAGCATGAGTGGGAACCTCCACCTTGAGGACAAGGTAGTTTTCTAAGGGGGTGAGAGTGTTATGGATTATATAGTAGGATATTAGATTATATATTTATTAGTTTATTATTATTATTATTATTATTATTATTATTATTATTATTATTATTATTATTATTATTATTATTATTATTATTATTATTATTATTATTATTATTATTATTATTATTATTATTATTATTATTATTATTATTATTATTATTATTATTGTAATTTAGGTTTTATTAGGTGAGCGAAATTTTAAGCTCCTTCGAGGTTTCTTTACGGTTCTTTCCCTCGTCGCTTTTATTGAACCGTTAGGTTAGCGTTAGGGTTTCCCTATTCCCTATATATAGAGATGTAACCCCTTTAGAATAAGCAAGCAATAAACAAATTACAAACCCTAATCTCTTCTCTCCTCTCGGTTCGCCGATTCCCCCTCGCCTCAATTCTTGTTCTTCTTCCTCGTCCCATATTCTCAAGAGCTCGAAGACGCTCTGAGTCTTCCCTATCCGATACGAGTTCGTATCACACTTCTCCTTTTCTTTCCCATTACTCTTTCTTTTAGATCTATCTTTTCCTCCACTTTTTTCTGTCTTTCCATTTTCTCTCTCTCCGGCGGTGTTTGCGGCTGTGGGAGATGAAGGTGGGGGCTGACAGCGGCGATGGGAGGTTGGGTGGTGGTCGGCTGGCGACGGTGGTAGGAGGTGGGGCTGACGGCGGTAGGGTGTCACTAGAGGTGGGCTGGGGTGCTAGACTGCTAGTGGGAGGTGGGCTGTGGTGAGCCTCAAAGTGCAAGGGCATTTTAGTCCTTTCACGCCATTAGTCAATGCCTCTTAAAAATGAGGAAAATTCAAAGTGGGAACATCTTTTCCGGACGGAGGGAGTAATATATTTGTAATTACACTTTATATATTACAAGATCTTATTTTAAATAATAGACTTATCACATAATGTGATCAAATCTAGACTGACATTGTGTTTGCGGTGTAACTCTTATTTTTGGAATAAAAACATAGAACTCGTATTTTGGTACATTTTTTATGTTTTACTCCTAGTTTGGTCTTTTTCTCTAAAATATTTTGACTTTCAAAAACTTTATAAAATTAAAAAAAATCCTCATATCAATTTAGAAGAGTGCGAATCGTAAAAATAATGACAAGGAAAAAGTAAAAATGAAATAATTTATAAACTATAGCTATGAACATAATTGTTGTAATAATAGTAATGGAGGTAATAATAATAATAATAATAATAATAATAATAATAATAATAATAATAATAATAATAATAATAATAATAATAATAATAATAATAATAATAATAATAGTAATAGTAATAAGCATCATCATCATCACATTAAAAATATATCGTTTTTAGAGTAATTGTTTGGGGAGTAGAAAAAATTTGAAGAAATGAGAATAGTTGGAAAAAACGGGAAGGAACTGAAAGAAACTGAAAGACTTATTTTCGATACATGTGCATCCTTATTTAAATTACATTTTTTATTTCGAATTTTTTTCATTTGCATTTTAAATTTTATCATACATATTCAAACTAAGTACGTTTTTATTTAATCTCCCTATTTACAACAACAACAAAAAAATTATCCCACCCAAAATCTTTACGGGTGAACAGTAAGAAAGTGCAAGACAACCGCTAGCCTTAGAGCATTGCTAAAAAACTGCATCACATCTTGTAGTAGTGGGCAAAAAAACCGAACTAGCATGATACCATACCGGACCATAATGGTACCGAACCGTTTATAGTGTTTTCAAACCGGATTGATTTTTTTCATCACGAACCGAAACCGAACCGATACCAAATGGGACGGGACCGTGATACATATTTTTAAAACCGATTATCACGGACCGAACCGTCCAACGTTATATACGGAGTACGTATCTCAAATAATTATGGAATATTTGTCTACTTCATCTTACCGTATATAGAATACTTCTTATTTTATTATTCATTTTTAAACTTTCTCAATATTATTGTTGTTATTATATTTATCATTACTATTATCATTATTTTTTTATAGTTAATAGTATTCTGATATTATATGAATTGGGAAAAAAAATTATTTTTTAACTTCGGACTCATTATCTTTTATTCTTTATATTTATGATCCGTTTAAATTTGAAATCAATACTTTTATTTAACAAACATGTGCTTTTTTATACAAATTTATATATATATATATTAAATTCAATATTCTTTGAGTAATGTATATTCATTTTTTTTGACATGGTTTGAGCATGTGTATGGTATTGTACCCTTACGTTTCAAAAAATGGTACCAAATGGTTTAGGTTCCGATAGTATGACCATCATGGACAGCGCCCGCCCCTAACATCCTCAACCGCTCATTTTTTACCCCATCTTCATCACATCCTTCTTAGTGTCTTCCTTTTACGTCTTCAGCTTTTATGCTCATAATTAGGCTACGATTGAAGACAAGAAGGTTGTTGGTTCGCTGGTATAAGCCCGTGAATATATATGTCGTCATTTTACAGAGTAATAGGGACCGGACCCTATTGTAGCACGAGAAGAAGAAAGGGTCGGATTCACTGCTTCAAGAAGAGGTTATCACCATTTTCTAGTTTCTATTTAATTTCTTTATATTTATAGTAACATTTTAAGTTTTTTAATATATTTATGGGCGCTTCCCTGTTTTATTTTTATTAGACGCTGTTATTATATTTGATAGAAAATATTGCAAACATTGGCATTATCTTAATCGGTAATAATTGGGGATGATGGATCAAAGAGAAATATTTTGGGCACCAGATTAGGTTTTTTTTGGAATTCATGGATACTTTGTACAGTAGGAGGGTTATTTTGGCTTTTTCTCACACCTTTGCAGATTGAAGCTCTGTTCTCATCTTTTTGCACCCAATGTTCATGGATTGGATTTTTCTTCTTAGAATATAGAAATTGAAAGAGTTGTGTGGAGATGTGTGTTATTTTAGTATTTAACAAGTACCAATGAAGTAAAGATATCATCTTCCTTTGGATCTCATAGAAGTCTCCATGCATGGAATTCATTATGTGAACGTTTGTGCTAATTTTAGCTGCTACTTGATGAGGAATAATTAGCCAGTCCTAGCAACTTGAGTAGCAATCACTGGACAGTGATTGTTTTGGGAGGCAATGATACTACCAAGTTGGGCATCACTTCTCTTTTGCTCCGTAAATATTTTTTCAGAACTCATACTTACGGGCATGTGTTTTTTGTTATATTTTTATTTGGATGTACTCATAAGTATTCAGAGCTTTAGTCTCTTGCGATTTGTGCTTGGACTCTTTTGGAGTCACAAAAGTTGTGATTCCCTTATCTTTTTTATTAATAAAATTTCTTATTTGAAAAAAAAAATCATTTCATTTTGGGATCATGTCATAGTCTAATAGTCTCCAGTTCATTTTTTACATTTAATTTTTCTGGAAAATAGTGAGTGACAACTACTTAGTAAGATGTGTATAGTCCATAATTGTTCACTACGAGTATAAACTGGGGAGTTGAGGGTGGTGACCTGTGTGAGGATCAATAAGTGGTAGTTTCCTATTTGGATTCATTAGTGATTAGAATGTAAACAATACGTTGTACTTCGTAATTCATACCATCGGTGCAATTGATATGTAGTTATGGATTGCTCTAATATGCATATTGATATGTCCCTGTTGAACTTAACCCGAATATTCAACCAATATATATACTGTATCTATCTATAATGGTGCATGTTTGATTTCTATGAATTGTTGGAAAAAATAATCAAATTTGTGCATTTATGAATGCAAGAGTTCATAGCAAATCCTTGCTCACTAGCCTTTCTCTGTGGAAAATATTGCTTTCTTACTTGCCTCCTCACTCATTGGGTATTTATTATACTCCATAGTATTTACACCTTCATACTTTCATTCATTATGTAGGTTTCACTAGGTCTGTAATACTAAGGAGTGGACCTTTATCTGATTTAATTTGACAGGTTCAGGAGTTGCTTAAGGGATTAAATGGTGCGGATGGAGATATTTCATAGAAAGTATGATGCTGCTCTGTTAGCTAGCTACTCAGGTACTTAGATCCTATGTTTCATTATCCATGGAGATTGTAATAGTGTCAACCGGCAACATGTTGTTCAAGTCAAGAATAAAGTCACGCGTACACCATGTTGATATTAGATGTCTCCTTTTATGACCAAGGGGCTTAGGGTATTGACAATTTATTCTGCTCATGCTTGTTTGCTAAGCACATTTTCAATAGCATATCTGTCTTAGGTAGCTATGCTATTACTACTGATAACTTGAAATGCACTTTGGATATATTGCTGGAGTTGAAACCTATATGAAATGGAGAATGGTGATTGTAGCTACTTATGCTGCTTGCTGCTATGCTATTTGGAAATATATAAATGCTAAGATACATGGAAAAGCTGATCATAATGCCAAGGAATGTATTGATTGGATTAAATGGCAAGTTAACACATACGGAGTACATTAGTTGCTAGAAAGAGTATGGTTTGAGGTTTTGTTTGGTGTTGTTTGTATTGACATTTTCTAAAGTTAATTAATATGGTTTGCGTTTCAGTTAAAAAATGTTTTCATCTCACGTGTGACCAATCACCAAGGACTGAAGATTTGAATTTGGGAACGGACCACACTACCAATGTGATTGACAAAGAAATTTTCCAAAATTTATGATTTGGTAACATATACTCTACGGAGTATTTGGAATAATGTACCTTTTTTCCCTAAAACTCCAAGCAATTTTATTTTTTTAAGTTTATTGTAAATGTGTTCACATGTGGAACAATTTTAGAATTTGCTCATTTCCTTTAAGCCTACATTATGATAGTTTATTGTTTTTTATTCTTTATAATAAAAAATATTTTTTACTGTGCATACGTATTAAAATCTAGTTATTTTATAAAATAAAGTGTTAACAGTTGTTAGAATAAAAAAAATACCATGTGTCTTACACGGCATGCATGTGTAAGAAAGTTTACATTAAATAATCGCATCATGATTCTTATTACATTTTTATAAACCTTTCGCATGCTAACCTTTTATTTTCCAACAGAAATATTTAATAATATGTTAAATGTGTATTATTTTCATTATACTTAAAATATTTATTAGACATAAAGATATTATATTTTAATACTACATATTTTATCTAACAAATTTCACTAAAAATAGTAATAGAATTACATTATTAGAAAGAAAATTAAAGGCCACTCGATAAAAAATAAAAAATCAATAAAACATGATTCATCTATGTAGGTATTTGAAGGTTTGATATTATGAATCGAGATATATGACACTCATTTCCTAAATTTATTCTAATAAATTTATAATAATGGCAATTAGAATAACATGAAAAACACACATAAATATTTTTTATTTCAATGTTGAAAGCAGCTACAAGTTTATGACTATCATTCTCATTCTAGATTATTGGAAGTTAAAAAGCCTCTGTTTTTCTTTAGAATTTCAAGAAATTTGGTTGCTTTATTGGATTTAAAAAAAATTACCCTAAATTTAAAAAAACATAGAGAAAACATCAAAATTGGAACTTCATGTTTTTTTCTTAAAATGGGAGTTTGCTCTATGTTAATGTGACACACTATAAAGAGATTTCATAATACTTTTTGATATTTATTAAATGTAAAATATTTATTAAATGTAAAATATTTTTTAATATGTAAGGTGAATTGAAATTTTATTTTATAAACAATTAATTTTATACAATAAAAATACTCTTTACTAAAAAAATTAAATTTGACCTAATTAGATAAGATCACATTAATTTTTTGTTGGGGGAATATGTATATTAAATTTTGAAAAATAATATTTTTAACCTTATCACAAAAAATTATTAGTTGGGGGCATTTTCCCTCTACTCATTGTAAGTGGATCTGCCAGTATATCAAGTTTTGACTGTTTGCAATCAAGGTTAATTTGTTATCTAACATTTCAATTATAACGGATCTAAATGAAATATGACTCAATTATATGAAGAATATAGTGGTCCTCACGTGTATTTATAATGAAAAATGAGAAAAATACATGGACTAACGGAAAACTTAACGGAAGGACCAATCGTGCAACATTAACGTGACTTGAAGGACTATTCGTGGACTCTATAAAGTTGAAGGACTAACCGTGCATGACGCAAAAACTTGAAGGACCACCTGTGGAATTTAGCCAATAAATTTATAATGATGGCATTTAGAATAACATGAAAAACACACATAAATATTTTTTATTTCAATGTTGAAAGCAGCTACAAGTTGAAGTAAAAGAAAAAAATTACACCCAAAAGAAATGTATTTCCCAATCCAAAGTTGATCTTGAGTAGACTTTACCAATTTTTACAATGTCAAAAAACTCAAAAAAAGAATATCTCTTTTCAAAGAGTGTTGTTGCATTGTAAAAGAGAAGAGTGCTGTTGCATTGTAAAAGAGACGCTAAAGAGTAAATATTGATAATATAATATTGATATTTAACTATTTTGTGTCTCTTTTGCAATGCAACCACACATCAATGATGTGAAACCAAACTATGAAAGCAGTTTTACATGTTGGCTTCGGCTCCGAGTTTGTCAAGAAGAGAAAATGCAGTTAAAGACACGGTGTGGGAAAGGACGCGCGCAACAATATATATACTCCGTAGATTACTCCGTATATGATCCATGTATGCATCATTTTATGAGTTTATGACTATCATTCTCATTCTAGATTTTAGGAAGTTAAAAAGCCTCATTAAAAAAATACATGAGTCAATTGTTTGGAAATGTTTTCTGTTTTTCTTTAGAATTTCAAGAAATTTGGTTCCTTTATTGGGTTTAAAGAAATTATCATAAATAAAAAAACATAGAGAAAAATCAAAATTGGAACTTCATGTTTTTAATTCTAAAATAGGAGTTTGCTCAATGTTAATGTGACACTATATAAAGATATTTCACAACATATTTTGATATTAAATATTGGCATGATTAACATTGTATAGACATTTTACCTTCTATTTTATAAATAGAAAAATAGAAATCTCATTTTGGTATATCTTATAAAAAATCACTCTAAATAGGAGTAAATCATAGAGAAAATATCAAAATAAGAGTTTCATGTTTTTGTTCTTTAAATACTACTTCCGTCACTGAGTATTTGTCCAGTTTTGACTTTTTTAGGTCAACTATTTTCAACCTTTGACCTATAATTAAATAAAATATATATTATATATTAATTAGATAAAATAATATTTTGAAAACATTTGATATGATAAATCTAATAAAACTATTTTTGTATCAATATCTAATATCCTTTTTATTTAATTAAAAGTCAAACTTTACCAATTTTGATCGAAAAAGTCAAAAGTAGACAAATACTCAGGGACAGAAGGAGTAAAAGTTTACACTCTGCTAATGTTGCACTGTTCATGTGCATTTTACTATATTTTTTGATAATGTACCTGGTCGTGATGGATAATGTAAATGCATTTTAACTCTTATTTCGGAAATAAAAATATAAAATTCCAATTTTGATATATTTTCAGTTTTTACTCTTTAGACTTTTTCAAAGATGCCAAAAGCTATCCAAAAAGCTGTTTTCCAAACACGATTCCCCATTGGTTTATTGCTTGGATGAACTGAGAGCCTTCCTATCATGCTAATATTTGCTTATATTCAATATTTATTTCATAAAAACTGAACCCTTCTGGTAGGATTGCCACAATAGCCGACTACCAACTAGGCGATAGAGCCTACCGTCCGTCTAGTACTTAGGTACCGTACGGTTGCAGCTACCGGCAGAGGCGAAAGCAACCAACGGAGTGTGACGGTAGTACGCTACCGTCCCGGCGGTACCGCCTCGCCTCTGTGAACTTCAAAGACAAACATTTTTCTTTTCTTAACGTAAAAAAGAGAGAAAAAAAGAGAATAAAACAATAAAAAATAATGAGAGGGGGTGTTGGTGGCCATACAAAACAGAGAAGTAATATACGGAGTATCTAATATTTGCAGGAAAAATATTAGAAGGGCAATTTATCTAATTCATCTCATATGGTGTTAGTCGTGATATTCTTAGGCCAATGTATTACACTCGTGACTCGACTATTTCTAAAAATCTTCTCGTTTCGACTTTTTGTGGTTTTTAAGGAGAGTTAAAAAAAGGCGAAAGTTACCAAAAACTTTTAATAAAAATGGGTGGCCGGGGTGTATTAAATAAGGTGGAACAAGTATAATAAATAAAGTAAGTGAGACAAATAAAAAAAGCTAATGAGAAGATCTATGGGGGACAGAGGAAGTATGATACAATAAAGATGACTATTAGCATAATAATATTAGTATCATAAGAAACAACGAGGGTGTTTGGGAGTGCGCTGCTTTTAATAATTTAGCTTCTGCTTTGAGTGAAAGTGATTTTACTCTGTTTGGCATGTCAACTTCTGCTTTTCACCACTACTATTTTGTACATAGAACACAGTTTCGAAGAATCAGGTATGAGGTGCTTATGCTTTCAACTTTTATAGAAATCACTTTATCTACTATAAATAAATTAATTATCACTTAATAACATACATTTACGAATGATATTAGTTTTTTTTTTGACTTTAATGATATTAGTTTTTTTTAATCGAACTAGAGAGGTAACAACCTCAGAACCTCAAGAAAGGTTCCTCACTGTCGCACGCCTAGGCCAATAGTACCCCAGCTTATCCTCCTCTAGCAATTGACGTGCACCATTCGGTGGGAACTCTAACTCTCTCCAAATCAACGCTCTGTTTTTTCCCATTCTGGCAAGTAAGTCTGCGACCACTGCTGAGTGCTGACCACGAGAAGAAAGCGCGTCAAATTTTCCTTCACTCATTCAGACAAATCACAGTGGCAACTACTCGTAACTTTCATCCGAACTCGAGGGCATTCACGTCATTCTCTCTCTTCCCCCCCACCCAACGAAATTCGTGGTACTTCTTGTTCTGAGGTCGAGGTGATACCCACAAGATTTAGGAGAGAGAGACAGAGAGAGGGAGAGAGCGCGAAGAGGAGGAGAGATTCACTGCTTTGTTTGATACTCTGACGGGAATGTCAGTTAGGGTTTTAATTTGATTCATCTTTTGCCGCGAAAGGAGAACGCAAGCAGAGTCTTTTCCTTCTCCCTCTCGCTTCTTCTTTCTGCAAAACCCTAATCAGTTCTCGCCCCTCAATTCAATCCCTGCTGTTGCTGCTCTGAATTTCGCCCCCGCTTAGCTTCCATGGGTGCTCAGGAGAAGTCGCCCAACGAGGGTAATTCGCTCCAGGTGCGTTCTTCCTGGGAATATTTGGCAATTCCCCAATTATTAAAAAAAGAAAGAAAGAAAAAGATTCTCTCTTTTTTTTTTTGTTTTCAATTTTGGTTGGGAATGTGATGTGGTTTCGTGTGGCCGTTGAGTAGGTAGACATGATTTCTTATGTTTGAACTTTAAATTTTTCCCACTTTTGTTTTGTCATTTTTTCCCTGTGCTTCATGGCTTATTATTACGCCTTATGTAAGAGGTGCTGGTTCATCTTGTTCGTCTGTCCCAGAAAGATGCACCTTTTTCTCTATTTGGAAAATTTTACATGGTTCGAAGTGTTTGTATCTCCTCTGCATGAATTCACTTAATTAAAATCTTTGCCCAGCCTTTGGGATGGAGGGAGTAATTAATTTAAATTTATAGTCTGATTGAATTTTGGTTGTCTGATTTATGCCAAGAGACTACTACTGTTTGACAAA